TTTTTACATGAATTTTATCATACACTGACATTGTAAAATGCATTCAATAATAATGAATTTTCTTTGTCCTTAAAACAACTTTGGTCCTTAAATTTGAGTACAGTAATTGTATTATAAAATATTTGTGCAAAAATATAACAATTGCATATCCTCATTAACACATATATCATAAATAATTCAGGTTTTAATTTCATTTAAAAAAGTATAAAATTCATTTGCATATAATTAGGATGAAGAAAAAATAAAAATAATTTCTTAAAAAAAATTTCATATTATTTGCATATATCCAGGAGAGAATTATCATTTTTTAATAATTTGTTCCGATTCCAATTGTTTCATTCATGGACTTATCAATACAATACCATACATAATCATATCGTATTCAAAAGTATATTATCCTTTATATTAGTTACTCTACAAAATTTAAACAGTTAGAATTGCTAATTATTATTCATTTTTGTTTTAGAAATATAAAAAAAGTAAACCTTACATGCAAATTTAATAATGTCACCCGGTTGTTTTACATTGAACAGTTTTGAGATCTTTACATTATATTTACAATTCGTTCAGATTCTATAGTCTATACAATCAATTTAGTGTTTACTCCATCTCTTTCTTGAGCAACGAACTATACGAGTATGTAAAATATTGGCACACTTCTTAAAAACTAAATTCATGTAGTTCTAAGTTATGGCTAACAATTGGTACTCTATGTAAAACCAAGGTAAGTTCATTGCCTTAAAACATCCGCCTTATTATGAATTTGAATGTTTGGAATACATTTTAGAGTTATTGTATTGTTTTTGAATATCTGCAGATCAGCTAGTAATATTATGCAACGATTATCAATTCTGCTTCAAATTTATGTTTTATCTAATTTGGAAAATCAAAACCTTATAAATACGGCAACTTATTCTTCGAACTCCTAAAATTAAAAAGCAAGTACGTTTTATTATTTTTTAATTTGTAAAGACTTTTACACTTTCGTATTTTTACCATAAATATCTTACTATATGTTTCCACTACAATATGTAAAACCAATTAGAAAACTCTAGTGAGCCAACAGAACTAGAAAAAAATACAGCAAAAGTCTTTCATTCGCAATTTTCAACCTCCTTTCATGTTCAACTTCAGGTTCTATTATTTTAATGTTAAACTTCTGCTATTCTACTATTTCCTGTATAGTGATGAAGAATGTAAATTTTTCCATGTGTTTCTTTTTTTTTTTAACCCCAAATACTGCATAATGGGCCACAAGAACTACATAATGTGCTTCTACTCCAAAATTTTTCAATATTTTTTTCCAAATGGTGTTGTTTTATAAAATGAAAATCTTATTAGAATGAAACTTTATCAAATTCATGAGGTTGATTTTTAGTTCATTTATGTTTGTATTGGAACTCATCGTACATAATAAATCAAATACATGTACAATAAATAAATCAAATTGAATGACTAGTTTACCCTTTTAAAAGACAAATTTAATTGGAAGCGCACCTAGGAGAGAAAAAAATAGTAATTGTTAAATATATTTAATATATTTAACAAGTAAAAACGTTTCAGTCGGTATAAACCGATTGAATTATACCCTGCACCTTTCATTGTTGTATAGCAATTACTCAAACCTGTGAAACCATTCTATAGAAACTTCACGGATATGTCAGACCTATAACTGAACACACAACTACCAAGTTTCATGAATCTGACTTAATTATTTTTCCAAATATTTAAAATTAGCTTTTGGAGTTGTATGGCAGGTACCCGAACCTGCCAAGCAATTCCACTAAAACTTCGCTAATATATCTGATCTATAATTGGACACACAACTGCCAAGTTTCATGAATCAAACTTTATTACTTTTCCAAATATTTAAAATAAGCTTTTGGACTTGTATGGGAGCCACTCGAACATGTCAAGCAATTCCACCAAAACTTCAGAAATATCTTTGACCTATGATTGGACACACAACTGCCAAGTTTCATGAATCTGTTTTTATTATTTTTCCAAATATTTAAAATTAGCTTTTGGAGTTGTATGGCAGGTACCCGAACCTGCCAAGCAATTTCACTAAAACTTCGCAAATATATCTGATCTATAATTGGACACACAACTGCCAAGTTTCGTGAATTTGACTTTATCATTTTTTCAAATATTTAAAATTAGCTTTTGGAGTTGTATGGCAGGTACCCGAACCTGCCAAGTAATTTCACTAAAACTTCGCAAATATATCTGATCTATAATTGGACACTCAACTGCCAAGTTTCATGAATTTGACTTTATTACTTTTTCAAATATTTAAAATTAGCTTTTGGAGTTGTATGGCAGGTACCCGAACCTGTCAAGCAATTCCAATAAAACTTCGCAGGTATATCTGATCTATAATTGGACACACAACTGCCAAATTTCACGAATCTAACTTTTTTATTTTTTCAAATATTTAAAGTAAGCTTTTGGACTTGTATGGGAGCTACTCGAACCTGTCAAGCAATTCCACCAAAACTTCAGAAATATCTTTGACCTATAATTGGACACACAACTGCCAAGTTTCATGAATCTGACTTTATTATTTTTCCAAATACTTAAAATAAGCTTTTGGACTTGTATGGGAGCCACTCGAACCTGTCAAGCAATTCCACAAAAACTTCAGAAATATCTTTGGCCTATAATTGGACACACGACTGCCAAGTTTCATGAATCTGACTTTATTATTTTGCAGAACATAAAGAATTTGCTTTTGGAGTTGTATGGCAGCCACACGAACCGGTGCAGCTATCTCATTAAAATTTTTAGAGCATATGTCGAATATAATTGGACACATGTATACAAAATTTTATATTTGTACCTTTATTAGTTTTTGAAATAATTAAAATAAACTCTTTGAGTTGTATGGCAGCTACCCGAACCCGTTGTCCGAATTGGTCCAATAACAATAGGGTTCGTCCTTGGCAGAAAAGAAGCAACTTGTGAAAGTTTGGTGTCGATTGCATTATTCGTTTTTGAGTTATCGTGCGATCGGACGGACGGACGGACGGACGGACGGACATGTCTAAATCGACGCAGAATTTTACGCTGAGCAAGAATATATATATACGTCCATACCGCAGATGACTCCTTCAAGTAGTTACAAACTCCATACCAAAGTTAATATACCCTTCACGAAGTGCAGGGTATAATAAAATATTTTTTTAATATTTATGCTATCATTTAAAACAGTGATAAAAAGTTTAGGGTTAAAGTAAAACTGATGTTAAAATAAAAACAAAATAAAAATGTATGGGCTTTTGCTTCTGCAGATTTTTTCGTATATAAAAAATGTGTTGTGACGTTTAAGAAAAAAATGCCGGTGGATCATAATAAAAATATTATTCTCATATTTGATTTTATTAGGATGTTGCCAATATTGTAGGTTCCGTTAAATTTAGAAACATATTAACACAACAATAATAATTGCCCAAAATTGAAATTACTTTATCAATATACTATAGATACATAATTCGAAAAACAACAACGACTAAATGCCATCGATTGATATCCTTATTTCAATTTCCCGTAAATGTTTTTTGTTCCACTTCGAGATCTCAACATCTCGCTCAATGGAATATTGAATTTCAGTCAATAGAAAACAAAGCATATTGAAATTTTTCCAGATAACTTTCTATTATGCCTCAGATGTGATTAATCTCATCAATTGTTAAGTGTTTCTCAATTATCAACTGGAGTCTTTCATATAATCCTATCTTAAACAGTAGTAGCATCAGTGGTAGTAATAATTAGATAGACTTGTAAACCAAAGATGAACTGCTGCACTTATTAATTTTATTGGAGTGTAAATGACAAAAATATCTTAAGTAAGTAAGTAAGAGAGGGGGGCTCCACTCGTACACCCGCGCAAAGCTCATGGACTAGGCCAACAGAAAAAGGCCTTGCCTTTTTCCCATCCCAACACACAACAACCCCCTGCAGTTCGATACACAAGACCCCCTATCCAAACCAGCCAACCACCCTGGCGAACCATCCGTGTAGATGAATAACCCCTCATGCGTGCATAACCCCCCCACACTCCAATCCTCCCTTTGTGGAACCACAACCTCATAATCAACCCTCCAGTCGGTATATGGCACCACAAAATCAGGCCTAATGTCCATAGGCCACATTCCATATTCTCCCAGAATTCTACTGTGTGTGTATTCCCTGTTTTTAAGTATGCCCATCGCATGTAGCCTCAAGGCACTCCTCGCAGCCACCGCTTTCGCAGAATAACCTCCAAACCCAAAAATATCTTACACCTAGTTTTCCTTAAAAATGTAACATATGACCCTGAAACTAAACTCATTTAATAAAATGAATAAGCCACAAACTTATTATACAAAGAAAATATAAATACATTTAAAATTATACAATTAACATAAAAAAAAACGAATAATACCTAATATTGTAATCGTTCCAACAATATTTACAAACATAAAAACATCAGTTGAAAGTGTAAAAAAATAAACACCATTCGAGAATTAAAACTTATAACGAATCAATGAACTGCTCACATATGCCTAATCCATAATATTCTGTTAATTCTTTTCATACACAAAAAAAAATCACAAAAATGACATTGTTTACAATTAGAAAACTGTTATTGAATCACCGTTCTGTAAGCTCAAAAACTGTAATGTTAAATGTAATGTTAAGAAACTATGGTTTGCCTTCCTTTTATTAATCACATTTTAAATTGAATGTAATAGTATCAATGTTTCTTCTTCCTCTTTTGAGAGGAAAACATAGCATGAAAATTTTATTTTGATTTTTCCTTAACACGGCTCTTGTCTGTCGAACGTACACTCTTCGTAGCCTATTCTTGTTGTTGTTTTTCCTAATTTTTCTTATAAAAATATTGTTTATGCCTTTGTATTTTTATTATTTATTTTTTTTCCATTTGTTCGTTTTCTTCACACAAGTCTATTTATTCAATAAGATTTTTTTCTGTCATTAGTTCTGAAGTGATTGAGCTCGTGTTAGGATGGATTGGATATTACGCGGCGATAATTGTTTAAGGCGTTAATAATAAATGTATGAAAAGAAAATTTATTTTTATTTTATCGGGTTTTACTAAAAAAAAAAAACATTAATGCAATTTTGATTATAGGCATATTTTGTTAAATTATAAAGGTGGAATACAAGAATATAAAAAAGTTTTAAAAAATCGGGAGTTTTTGTTTGTTTCTAGTGAACAAGAATATTTAAATAACAACAAATGAAAAGCTAAAGAAATCAAAACAATTTAAATTAATAATGTTGATAACATTTAAATGGTGATAACCTTTTCAAACCTGTTATACTCTTTGAGAATAACGAAAACAAAAAAAAAATAAATAGCAACTAGTTGATTTTTTATTATAGCACTTAACATTGTTGTTTTTAAAATTGTATAAATAATATTAAAATTCCAAGTTAAAGAAAAAAAAAAAATGAAATCTTACAATTGAATCCTTTATTGTTTTATAAGGATAGTTTGGATACCAACTTACGTGTATGAAATTTTTGTTTGAATCAATACGCACTCACAGCTTCGTTTAGCTATTTAAAAGTCTTTCATGTATAATTATTGAATTTTAAATTATTTTTACACCTAATAAAAGGTATTCATTAAAAATATTTACAAAAGTTCCGACGGTACTTTAATACAAAGCAAAATGAATAATATCACGGAATTTCCATAATTTGAAATCTTTTCAAATGTCACAAATAAGCGCGAATTTTTTAAGATGCTGAGTTTGATTTGATTTGCATGATTTGACTTGCTTGATTCAAACTAGTTCGATCTGCATAGAAGTTATTGTTACTATGAAATGAAGTTATTGTTATAAATGTATGAATTGAGTAATTTAAATAATTGTTGCATTAAACTCACTTATGCAGATCTCACGCATTATTAAAATATCACGGAATATAAATTGAGTTTAAATTTCCAAATTTCAAATAATTTAATGCCATAGTATTATTAATACAAAATTTTACTTCTGATCCTGAATGACAGTATTCATTTCATAACACTAAGCTCTTGTGAGTTCTTTTACTTAAAATGTTAAAATTACTGTTATTAATTACCCCTTTAATTAATTCATAATTAACCCTTTTATATCACAATATTTTTATATTGCAATATTTCAAATTTGTAAAATTTAACATTTTAAATGGCATTGCACGGTAACACTATGGAACAACTGATGTATTAAAATAAATTAATATTAGACACCTAAATGACAATGATAAATTAATGTTAAATTAAAAATTCTTATTGTATTTAAAATGCATAAAGATCTACTTGTAAACTGAATGACTATTCAATAAAAAAATTCAACATTTAAATGAGGTTAATGAAGTTTATTATTATTTTGTTTAATGTAACATTTATATAATGCAATTACAAGGTGCCCTTAAGTGTTGCAAAAAATTTTAGCATGACCAATTCATACCAAAATTGATAGCGTTTTTTTTTGCAAATTTATGCGAGTTGGGCATCACATTTTGCTTTAGAATTTAAGAAACAAAATAATTTTCATAAAATAATTGTTAGGCGAGGACATTCGTTTCAAAGAAAATTCTCGTTTTTTTTTCCAATAAATATCTACATAATTATAATCAATTCCTCCCACAACTTATTTATATACATTATAATTATTTATTAAACTTATCATTATTTTTTCATCATCATTATAGTTAAATACATTCAAAGGTACAATATGCATGATTAAATCCTTTTGATGAAATTTAAAAATTAGTTATGCCTAATACAATTTTTAATTTGAATTGGACTTAAAATATATGTATATATACATCTATGTATATGTATATTATAAAATATAAATTTAAACGCCCCGTTATTTAAAAAAAATTTTATGTAAAACTCCTCCCACTTACATGCGAGAAAATTAACTCACCCTTAATTTTTTCTTCTTTTTACGATTTTTTACGTTACACTTATTATAATTTTTTTACTATAATTTATTAAATATTAGACCATCAACGAAAATAAAGTTTTCAAGTGAATATCAGTAATTACCATAAGTTATGTATATAGTTACAATCAGCTCTGTATGTATGTATATACAGTAAAAATGAAGAAGTACACAAATATTTTGAAAGCAATTTATTCCGAATAGGACAAAATTTCAATTCAACTAAATAGTATCAAATATGTATATTACAAAATAATAGTAACCACTGTAATTAGCATCTCAACATATTACTCGTTCTATATAATTATTCTATTTATTATTTAAATGATGGTGCTCTATAAATAATATGTATGTAATATAAGGGTTAATAAACGTCATCGCCATCTCATATACTTGACATTTAATCGTTTTGAAATGTTTATTTGTATATTTCCTCTCTTCTTTATAACACAATCAATAATGTAAATATTAGTTTTTCAAATGACATTTTTGAGTATTATATAATTTATTCCATCATTTTATATTGTTAACTTATATATATACAATGTATTTTAAAGTTATTTATTTCGTACATTCGCATCGCATCATTTTATAAATTAAGGGGCTCTTATGTGACACTTTCTTTTAAATTACACTTTAATATTATTATTATTGTAATAATGAACATTATAGTGCGGGTTCTCTTTGAGTATAAAATTTCAAATTATATATAAAAATTTAAATATAAAAATGAGAATAGAAGATGCGTTTAATATAATTAAAAAGAATAAGTTCTTATTAGTGCTAGTGCTAGTTTATACTATATTACACACTATGCGTATGTCCAAAAATACATACTTTTCATATACTCACAGATTCAATTTATATACATTAATAAAAACTATATTAACTAAGAGATACAAAATATAATACTTGAATATGTAAATTAATTCTAAGAGGGCTTGATTTTTTTTTACAAAAATATAGATGAATAAAAGAAAATTTAAATTAATATACATTATAGATACAAGAGAATACACGGTTTGTTTCTTACAGTTATGGGATATTAATTTGAATAACATATAAACAATATGTTACTTTTATATTCTGACATGACCATTAATTGTCAAATGCAATATAATTATGATTTATAACTCAACTAGATTCATATTTTATATATTTTTACCCTGACTGTTTGTTGGTTTTAATAAGTGCAAATTTAGCAATCAAATATGAATAACATAGAACTTCCATATCACTCCTCAATCTTATTCTGTTTTACATTATCCTTTTGATTTCTCTGTATCTCCCACAATCGTTTTCCTCCAAGTTTTTTACTGCTTCAGATTTCCGTAACATAATCCATCTCCACATTTTTTATTTTGTCTTTCTATTGGTTGATGCTTTGTTATCGTCCACAACTTCTCATTTCTTATTTGTCTCGACCAAAATATTCAACATATTATTTTGAAATATGTACATATTTATTCACGAATAATTGTAATTTATGTTTGGCTTCCGTAAAGCAGTACGAATTTTATACATGCACTGAATATAAGCATTTTTGTTCCTCGAGACGAATGTGTAGACTATCCAAAGTAACATATTTTATCCGAAGCCATTGTCACTTTGAACAATTTATGTTCGTTGTTCTGTTTAAGACCTCCATCTTTTAATACTATATTTCTCAAGTAATTGTATTACGACAGCTCTTCTATTCCAAATGTTATTCATCTTTATTTTCTTAGATGTTTTATATCTTTGTTCTTGATACCTTGTGTTTATTCCTGTAATCTTCATTTCGTTCTTATTTATCCCAGGTCCCACTTCTTCTGCGTTGTTTGACCGTTTATATACTGTATCCTACGTATTACCTACAGTGTTTCTAATAAGAGGTACGTCATCAATATTGTCTACACTAGATCAACCAACTGTTGCGACGGTCGCTAAGATATTTCTTATTGAGTTTTGGTCGTATCAAGAATGACTATGAACATTAGAAGTTATAAGGAACATCCCTGTTTACTACCGCGTTTGTAGTAAATTCGCTATCTACATTATTGGGTTCCACTCTCTTGCTTAAGTTTTGATGCTGCTGGTAATTAAGTGGTGTCCAAACAATACGCTACGGTACTTCCATATTTTGAACACCTTTTTAAAAGTGTACTAATAAAAAAAAAACATCAATAGCAAACTATATCATTCATTTCTGCTACAATAAATTATTTAAAACTTTATTACACTTATTTACTTCTTAATCATCATAATTTTCACTTAATGCACATGATATCGAAAACTAAATATGAAAGTAAACAAATTGTCCAAGTTTTATGCTGCGATTTAAGTAGATCAATTAAGGGCAATAAATTCAACAAGAAAAAAACTCTACAAGTACAATTTTTTTAGTATTTTTTTTCTCTTTCGTTCATTTAATTTAATTTTTTATTTGCATTTAAGACTTTGAATATATATTTACATACGAACATACTTATTAATGGCTGATATGCAGGGAAATGACTTACTTTAAATTCCTATGGTACTGTAGATAAAAAGATTCTTCATAAAAAGAGTTCATCATTAGTAGCCGTCACATATACACACTTACACACTTAATTTTAATAAAAAATTCTCGCACATATATTTTCATTAATTTTATTTTTGTTTTCTCTTTTTTTATTAAAATTGAGAAATCTTTTCCGATTATTCAAGGGATGTGCTAAATTTTATACGAATCTTAATTTTGAATTTCTACACAATATTTTGTTTCAACACTGTGAAGCTCAAATATGCTTTATTTCATTTTCGTATTTAACAATAAACGTTTCCAATTTAAAAAAATCTCACTCTTCTCAATAAAAATACTGTAACAGTATAGCTGTATAAATGCGATTCTTACAAAAGACACTCTGATGACACTCTTGTTCATTTTATTTCGGGTCGCGTTTTTTTTTTTTTATTTTTTTTATGTGCCTTTGTGCCTTGTCTCATCTTCCCAATTTTATTTTCTTTTTATTAATTCTTATATGAATTTAGAAGATAAATTGTAAGTAATTATATTTTTATTACTTTTTATGCTGGATCACATATATATGCATACAATCTATCCGTACATATGTATGCACATAATCTATCCGTACATTTAAATAAGCATGCAATATATACACATGCTTTGCTTACATACGAGTACATATGATATACGCATATATGTAAATATGTATACAAATCATATTTAAATATACATTTTCATGTTTCTAACATATCTATGCTGGTACATAAACATAACGTTATATACTAATGTACGGAACATCGTTTTTAACCTGACTGAATTAATAAAATGTTTTAAATTTTAAATGAAATTTTACGATTATAATATGGTTCAGCTATTGAACCAAATTGAACACGGTTATGGTTCCCAAAAATTATTGGCAAAATCATATTATACTAAATTTGGATAACCTGAAGGCTACAAAATACGCAATTTGACGGAATAATGTGAGCACAGATGGATTCATATCAAATTTTTTAAATGAACACCTCAAAATCTAAAAAAGTTGCTATAGTGGTGCATTAACAAAAATCAGTTATAATTTTTAATCCTAACCCTACGTATTAAATTAGTTTACCGTTTATTATAATTGTCTGGAAAAAGTGATTGTATGGAAGCACACATCTAATAAGACGGGAGGCCAAGTTGGTGGTGCCATACTCTTCTTCCTTGACATTGTAGGCCATTTGCATAAATTAGGACAGTCTGTGAATTGTTTGTGTAGATTTTGCAATGATTAAGATAAAACAATTGAGCATATTCCCTAATTTTTTAAAACATTGGCCATAAAGCGATTGGTTCATTTGGAAGAATTTACGGTGGCACCCTTGGGACATATTTTTAATTACGTGAGGATTATAGTAGGCCTAGTTGGCGTTTTATAAACGGTGAGATGTTACCGTAAACTTTTTTCGCTCCAGTGAGCTACTCTGAGGGTGACCCTATCCTACCGATCTACAAATCTACAAATCTACCCTTGACAATAATTTTTCCTATCACAGTTCAATACCCTATAATTTTCAGGATGTACAATTCATATGAAATTGCCTTGTTTTTTTTTTTTTTTTTTTCTATAAATTTTTATTAAAAAAATTGAGTAAGAATAATAAAAAAAGAGAGATAACAAGATTTCTATATGAAGTAATTGATGAAAATTTAAATAAAAAACAATTTCACTAGATATACCATGTGGACGGACGGGTCAAAATTTTGATTTTAAAAATAAAAATAAATTATTTTAAATGAAAATAAAAATAAATAATAGTATAAATAAATGTTTTGATTTAAAATATGCATAATGAGTTGAGAGAGAAAAATATTTTTGTTTTTTAATGATATTTTAAATGTGCGTGTAGTTGTTGTATTTGTGGTAGTGTAATAAAAATTATTTGAATTTGTGTCTTTTTTTATTTGTTAAAAATATTTTAATTAAATTAAATGAAAAAAAAAACATGATGAATATTAGAAGATTAATTTAAATTTATTACAAATATAACAATATGGAAAAATGAAATTTCATTTTTATTTAAAAATATTTATATAGGCATCATATTCATATAAGTGTGGCCCATTAAAATAAATTGATTTGTTTTTCGCGTGTATAAAATTACAAAGTTTCCGAAATCATAAAGCGGAAATTTAGGGAATTTGTTTTTATATTGAAAACAATTTACAATAAGTATTATTAATTTATTATGGTAAAAGGATCATTTTTACAAAACATTAATATTGAATTGTTGTTCTGTTTACATGAAAAATACTAATTAAAACTTAGGGTAATTTTAGTAAATAAATTAAATTTAAAAATATGGGATGCTTATGAATACGGTACTAGTGGCACCACCAACTTTTTGTATATAATTTCAAACAACATAATATTTTACACGCACATATACATATATATACGTTATATGCACATAAGTGCACGAACTTGAAATAACTATACTCAACTGATAAATATCCAATAAAAAATAATGTAAGCCTTAGTAATTCAAGAGCATTTTAATTATAGGTTTCTTACAGTTCAATTCTAATTTTTCTATTAAAATTATTTACTTCTCGGCATAGGTATACAGGCAAACACCCTATTTTATTATTAACGTTACATATTCCTAAGGTACATTATAAAGAACACCGTAAGGAACATATTAAAATTGTATGATTTCAATTTTCAATAAAAAGACTTATCAAAATCTTTCGTTTTAAAATATTAGCTCTATAACTCTAGCTACTTACATACAGAATTTATTAAAAAATTTTTTTTTAATTCGAAGCAGTTGTTACAGATTATGCACTAAGGTTAAGTTGTTACAAAACGATACCAACATTATATAATTAGTTAAACTATTTAAATTCATTCATAATTTAATGTGAACTTTAATAATAATTATTTTTCTTTTTAAATATAGTGAAAATGAAATGTTTGAAAAAATATTCAATTTTAAGAAAATCAAAAAAATCAATTAAAAATATATTAATATTTTTAATATTAATTAATATTATTGAAAATAGTTTAGCATTTAATAAAACACATTGGAATGAAACAACAGAATATGGTAAGAAAAAAATATAATTAGCATATTTTAATAGTATATTAAATAATTTAAATATAAATTAAAATTGAAAATTAATTAATTCATATTTATAAAACAGTATTATATTAAATAAATTTTTAAAATAAAATATAGGATCAATACTTATAGGATTATAATTAGATTATAATATTTTGAAAATATTGCATATAATTTAAGGTCTCCGTAATCGAATCCAGCTTTGATAATAAATTAAACACAATAGAGAAAAGCTACAGTTTGTAAAAATATACCATATATACAGAATGACACACAAAAATAACTTAATATCCTGTATGTTAAAATTAAATTACTAAGTACATTATTTTAGTCATTATTCTAGTGGTTATCAGGCGTAGTTGACTAAGTTAGAATTGACAGATTGAACTTTATAAAACAATGAAATTTTTTTTGGAAAAATATTTTTTGAAATATTAAAAATTTCTTTACTTTGTAATCGGGATCGGCCACTCGTAGATTCGCATATTCCAAGAGACCCGAATGGGTTTCCCACGCTCCCGCCTACAATATCTCTATTCCAAGTATAAAACTCGAGATATCTCCAAGTAAATTAAATAGCAGTTCTCGAACGCTCAGGAAGCCCTGCCCAAAACTATTGCGCTGCCGAATACCTTGTGCCGGGCGGTCGCATTCCTAGTAACTCCGCGGTTAATTTTACTGAGCACGATCGAAGAAACATTTTTGCATGCGGCACCTATTTTTATCTCCAAGTAGGCAGACAAGTCCAGCCCGTACGGTAGAACAAAAAAGGCAACCACCCACAGATGACGTATCATTAAATGCACCCCCAATGTCAAAAAAGCAGCGAACTACCACCATTAAATCCTGCAGCGCACCCGAGAACGTACCCGACTTCCCTGATTGACAGCATAGTTTTGTCGTTGCTTTCAATAGAAAAGAAGTAAGGCTAATCGAACGAAAAGACTTTAGGTGATTGCTTACCTATCTTCGCAATATACGTCACCTTAGCCACCCTTTACGCACAAAAAATTTCAAAAACGCGAAGTATATGCCGCCATTACCTGAAGATTTGAAAGACCTGAAGTACAAAACGGTCGAGTTAGGAAAGTGCGCTGAGGTCATCACCACCAACGTCTACTTTCTTTCTTCGATCATTGAGCCATTAGGACGTTCCATTTGGACAAACCCCCTATCGTTCGAATTGACTTCAACCTGTGGATTGAGGCAGCCAATACATTTCTTCTGCCAAGCCCCCGGAGACCAAAATATTAAGCCTAATCTGCCTATGGTCGATTATGGGTGCCTCATTTCGGCCACGTCATCCATCAACCCTATTACTAAAAAACTCAGTGTACATGGTGGTGTCAAGAACCTCTTCCCTAATTGCATTTATGGATATTGGCCTGTTGCACTCATTCATAATCGTTAATTTATTGCTATATATAAATTCAAGTAGGCACTTACATTTTTTATTTATATCACTGCTTCTCCAGACGGCGAAGTTGACATTAGAGTCACTTCCTATTATCAGCGGGAGGCAGGAACAGCATACAGCATTCAGGAAACTCTGTCCAACACCCAGGGATTTCAACTTCCCCAACAGAACCATCTGATCCTTGGAGCAGTAATCTAGAATGGGAAGATATATAAGTCTTTTACTAAACAAGATGTTGTCCCAGTTAATGGCTACTTTTATTTTCTCCACTTGGACATCGGATAGCCCCTCAATGGGTTGCAAAACATGAGCGATAGCTACTTTGATTTACACCACTGCATCCCGGTAAAAGGTCTTTTTTAAACATTCTTGAAAAATATTTCCAGTGACCTTCTTCCTAGCATTACCTTCCACCGACCTCCTCTTTGAAGGACCTGCGTCAGGAAGATTACTTTTTGACTTTTCACTCTTCTGGAAGAATAATTTAAATTGCAAGGCGCCTGGTATCCTCGGCATAAACTGTTTCACAAGACACGGCCACGGCACGAATGTAATTTTGTTCATTTTAATAATCTTTCTATCGTCTGCCATTACCGAGACCCACGACTTGGAGGTGACAGTGGGATTTTGAGTCCCGGACCGGTCACTCAGTAGTAACTGAAATCCAAAATAATAATAATTACTTTTTAATGTAAACTGGAGTAAGCAATGAGGTTATCCTCTTTAATAATCAAGCATATCCTTTCGAAGTGAATTTCTGAACTTCTCGAAAGAGTGTAAAATCCAGTCATAAAAATTTTTTTACCTGAAAAACAAGCTTTTTAAATGACTCTTGGCATATTACACGATTATCGCAAGACTAGATTTTGTATGAGCAAACGTATATCGACTCTTTTAGAAGAGATTTTTTATATTTAGAGACTCAACTTGAACTTAAGTGTACTTAAGTTCGTTGATATTAGACGAAAAAAAACCAAACATAGCCAGATGCCCGATATGCAAGTAGTTTGCCAAAAAATAATTTGAAGCATAGATAATTAAGTATTTGGTTATTTTTTATTAAGTTGACTTAGGCAGTTTTGCCTTGTTGCCCCAGATTTATTTAAAAATTAATAATTATTAAATACTTTGAAATTCGTTAGGGAATGGTATTTTATATAAAGTGTAAATAATTTTGCAGAAATACTAGAAAATGATATTAAATTCACATTGCGACAAATACATAAAATAAATTGGTAAGGGTATTTTGATTACCACAATATTGTTAGAATTTTGCATATATGTATGCATTTATTTCAAGTATACGTCGAGGTATTTACATATATATTGTTATATGTAAATTAATAATAAATTTATATATATCAAGATTACTTATGCATAATGTATATGTACGTATATTACATGAAAATTAATTAAATATGTAAATAACGTACCGGAAATTGCTTTTATTGTAAAAAAAAAATAAAACAAAATCTATAAATACTCATTGATAAACTCTTAATATCAATTTTTCATCATTATTATATCGTAAAATCACATTAATTTAAGCTTACATACATATACATATATGCAATTATATTTAGCATAACATTTATTCAACAAGTTGCATAATATTTTCATTATGTTATAAAATTTAATATTTAATTAAATCGATGTCACAAAACATACATAAATTGAAGCACATATCCATATGTGAATATATCTAGTTATAATATGAGTTCAAAATATTATTTTTTTCATTTATTACTTACATACTTATACTTATTGCATATTTTAATCGATATTATTATTCGATATTACTCGAATTAAAGGTGGAATAATAAGCAACGTGAATATGATTTGAAGAGTGCAGGCTTTCTTGCATTGTACTTATATATATATCGATTCTCTATATTAAATAGGATAGAGGATATAGTAAGAAATTAAATTTGCATTGAAATTCAATTATAGAATATAAACATATATTGTGGAATTTAATTTATAAGAACAAAAATTTCAAAAATAGAACTTAAATTTTAAATGTACGAGTGCAAAATCATACGAAATATTCAAGTACTTGCAAGAATATAATGTAATTTTTATATAATTTTATCACATAATTTAATGCTCTTAACCGTATTCAATAAAATTATTGTATTTAATATACAAAGAAAATATTAAAGCAAATGCATTTTAAGTTTAAGCGATTATTTCAAAAAGTAAATTAAAAATTTGCCGCGATTTACATGTATGTGTATATTTTTATTTCATAGACGGTCTTCTTACAGAATTTAAAAAAAAAAACCATTAATAAATGGCAATAAACTTGATAAGATATTTTCTATAATCTATATAGTCTAATTTGCTATAATCTATAAGTATTATTTTATTCAAATAATGCAATATTAAAATTGGAATTTAATCAGAATATCATTATTATTTTGTTACACACAGGATGGCACAAAATTAATACGAAAATTTACATATTTAATAAATTCTATAATTATATGCTATGTACACTCCCTGATTTCATTAAAATTAAGTTTTGAAGCAGCACAATACTTCATACAAACTAGAATCGGTAACAATAATGCATCACATCTTCATCTTATTTTCGCCAGCCTAAGTCGTACTGTTTTGCTTATTCAATAAAATTAGTATATTGACGCAATTGAAATTTGGTTTTATAGGAAAAAGATTGATTTTTTTTAATCTATTTTCTATTGTAAGTTTTTCATTGTAATGAAATATTTAACAATAATATTGTACAGGCTCTATATCAAGTGGATCGTATCCATTTCATAATTTTTTTGGAATTTAATTAAATTTAAATTGCTTTTATACAAGTTTTAATATTATTATAAGAATTTAATTTATTATGCAGCTTCATAGTAAATGAAATTTGTAATTTAATCAGGATATCATGAACTTTTTTTAGGAACATTGTTATTATTATTAATACTACATATAAGTCTAAATTTTATAATGAACTTGTAATATTTTATTATGTTACAACACTTATGATTAATTCACTGTATAATATATAACAAGTAAAAAAACATGCAATTAAATTTTACATACTTATACGTCACCCAATTTACTGCACTGTTCATATCAAATATTGAACTAAATATTGAACTAAATTATTTTAACATTCTATCATGACCTACGTTAACAGTGAATTATTCATATATATATACACATATGCTTATATAATATTATATGAAACTTTAATTTCCCATAAGTATAATATACACATGACATCGTAATTAATACAAACGGAAATTCTATGATAGTTGCTGATAAATTTGTAGCAATAAAATGTTAGGCCGGAATATTAGAATAAAATGTAAAGCTTAAATAATTGTCAACAAGAATAATAATTTTTCAAAAAATTTTAAAACTTACAACATTGTGTACAGTAGTATGACTGATATCAGGAAGTTCAGAGCATTAAAATTAATAATAAGTAGTTTTAAAAAAAAATACATAAAAAATATTATATTTCTTTTTATCAATAATCCGATATTGTATAAAAATTAAATAATCAATAATAATAATTTATTATTTTATTGGAATTGATAAGTGTTATATACCGTAGAACGTCGGTAATATAAAAAAATATCAGGTGTAAATTTTGATAAGAACTTAAACATAAAAATAAAAGTAAAAATTCCTATTGCGTTTTTTCTTAATTTTTGTAAACTTAAGTAAATATTAAATAAATTAATAATTTATCACAACATTTTATATAATGAAAGTATCACTTATTTTCTATAACTAAATTTATATCTAATAATTATTCATATAATAAAAATATATAAAAATTCTCCAAAAATAACTCTACAAATATTGTAATATCCATTCTCTTATTTTGGAAATTTTTGTATAAACACCAGGATATTCACTTAAACCACAACCTTTGCCAAATGATACAATACCACATAATTTATTACTATTTCGGCATATTAATGGACCACCGGAATCACCTTGGCATGCATCATATCCACCACCCGGATAGCCAGCACATAACATACGATCAGTCATTTTAAAACCATCTTCTTCATATTTAAAAAAACAATATTTTTGATTTGATATTTGTACATTAACAGCATTTAAATTATCTGTTGCATAACCAAGATCAGTTCGTCCCCAACCACTAACTGATGCTATTCCACCTTCCACCGTATCAAATAATTCTAATTCGATTGATTGAATTGTTAGAGAATATTTTAATTTTTGTGTTAAAATTAATATAGCTATATCAAAATCAGCCAATAATTTATTAAAATCTGGATGTATAATACGTGATTTAATATTATAGACTGAGCCACCTGATGTTGTTTTTGATGAACCAACTCTTACAGATAGAATACTTTCATGAAATGCTTGAACACAATGTGCTGCTGTTAATATTGCTATTTCACTAATTATAGCACCACCACAATGATGTTGTCCAAACATTTGTATATCAGCTTGATACGGATAATCTTTAATATCAACTTCATGACCACCAATTATATAAAGATCTTCTGATTCATTTTGTAATTCATTTTTAATAGATTTTGCATTAAATGCTAGCAAATTTTGAAATAGAATTAAAAAAATTATTACTGAATTTTTTGACATGTTTTCTTGAATGTTTTCTTTAAACTAAATTTTAATGAATTTTAGACTACCAAATTTATACTAATTAATAATCTCTCCAATAAAATTATACTGCAATTATTTAGAATTTTTTTTATTGATTTATTGAGAGAACATTAATAAAAACAAACATTTTTATTCCAATAAATTCCATATAATTTAATATTTAATTAATTATCATACTTTGTATTATTTTTAGGTATTTTGTTCGAATCGAACTTCTTTACGATGACAAGCATGTTTAGCATAATATCAAACTTGTTTTTATAATGTAAACATAATTTTTATTATACTTTTATAGCAGTAAACAAACATCACTTTTATTATTGTTAACAAAAAAAAAAACAAAATATGTTATTAAACAAAGTTATCGAATCTGAATATTTTTTTAATTATTTTATTTACTTTGCGATTTCTAACTACAATAAACTAATTAAAATTTCCTACCGAAATTATTGCATATTAATTACTTATTATATAAAATTTTATTTTGATTCGGGAGCCGAAATTAATTAGAATTTTTAAATAATAGTAATCAGAAATAAATTCATAAAACTTCTATAATAAAAAGGATAATCAATTATCTAATTATTCAGTAAAATCTTGACTATTCGTTCAATTATATTTTAAATTTATTTTGTTTTAAATCTAATTGTTGCGTTACAAGTATAATACAAGATTTCTCTGGCCTCCTAAGTTTTAAATAATATGTATTTTAAATACGTACAGTACCTACACACTAAGTAATATACCTATTGAAAGTTAGTCAATAAAATGATATTGAATTACTTTTAACTTGATTATCCTTTACTTATGTTTAAATTAAAAACACAAAACTTGTCCTTTAAAGAAGAAAATAAATTTGCATTTTACAAAATGTTACCAACTAGCAAATATGACCTGTTTGAAGATTAAAACATCATACAAATGATCATTACAAAAAATTTAAACTGGCAAAGAGATTTCAAAGTAACACGCGATCAAGTTCAATCCATTAAATATTATTTTTGAAAAATGCATTAATTACTATAGTATATATGCATATTTAAGTAAATCAACATAAATTAACCTTAAATTAAAATGTGACAAAGTTATCAAAAAGTAAATTGGAAACAAAAATATAAACCAGATCTGTGGCTTTTTTCTATTATCAGGTTATAAGCCTGTTTTATTAAAAAACTTTAGGATAACCATTACTATGCTATTAATTAGTAAATATAATAATTATTACATTTTTCGCAAAATTGTAAAATATCTCTGACTATTAGTTAAATAGCATTATAAAATTTTAAATTAGTATTACAAACTAAGTGGCAATTTTAAAAATATTCGACCTTTATCCATTTCTCATCCAAATAAAATTAGTTTGTAATAAAGTCAATTATTTTTACACACATATTCTGCCTCCTCTTTTCAATTCTTCTAATTCTTATCTATTTCTCGTTCTTCTCTGCATTTCTTATATCTACAGTAAGCCTCACTATATGAATGCATATTTTGTAATTAGAGCAACTAGATGATATTATTAATAATTTATTATATTTATAAATAATATTTATTCATTCATATTTCCATCAAGATTTTTATGTGATCATATAAATTTTACCAGAAGCGGCAAAATGAATTCCTTTTGGTTTTTCCATTACACATTCATTTATATACATATTTTCAATTGATAAAACGTCGTTACAAACACACATTCGAATTGTTATTGGTGAAAAATGCAAATTACATGCAACTTTGTCCAAGATCATTTAACTTTTGTATAATTAAATTTCAGAATATCGTTTTTACTAATTAAGAAAAAGAAATTGATTTATTTTAACAGCAAAGCACTTAATGGAAATTACCGCAAATGGAATAGGTTTTCTGCTTCTTTAAAATTAGTATAACAAAAGTATTTTGTCGGAACTTGATTTTCTTTCAATAATTAAATTATTTTGTATTATCCTATACTTGACAAGAGTTTTAACAGCCAATATTATTAAAAATTAAAGTTGAATGATTTATTAGTTCTATAGATGCTTTTTATTAGAGTTAACGTATAAAAGTCGACATTAAAACTCCTTGAGGTAGTATTTTGGTTCCAATATTATATATTTGTTGCACTTCTGTAGCATGAAATGAAGATGAAATCGATTTATGTAAATTTTACTCGGGTAGTAAAATTGATAATTCACTATCACTTCAGATAAATAACGTTATAATTCAACATATGCGTAATCACAACGAAATTGCTGTCATGATAAAACAAAGTTTTAACATCACTTTCAAAAACATTTCAAAGTTAGGCATCACAAAACATTACAAATTGAGTCGTTTCGATTGGCTAAAAAAAAAAAAACTCTGTTAGAAGATTTCACTGTTTTTCAATACAAAAAATAATTTCAAACCTTTCCTGTAGTGTAAAACAATGTCGCAAATTCTTGATGAAACTGGAAATGCACTATTCTGATTTACCAATATAAAATATTAAAACTAATAATAATAAATTATGCAATAAAATTGCATTTAAAACCAGAAAACTCGTCTTCAACTTTTAAAACTTGGTAGAAATTAAAATATTAATTTTTTCTAATTAACCAATTTATTGAGTCTTAGTAGTGCTAAAATACATAATGACTACTGGGATAAACTTAATACATTTGTAAAAAATTGAACAAATTAATTAGCCATAAACTGTTGTAACTTTTAAGTAAATTGCTCTTCTATGCTTAAACAAACATTATAATTTAGCTTAAATCGTATAACTATAAAACTACCATTAGAAACTGTTTTATTAGAGGAAGTAAGTCTTTAATTTAATTTGGTTTAATTATAAATTCAGAGTATGTAATTAAAATTAATGCGAAAATAAGTGAGTTGGTAATAAATTTCAATTTAGTAGTACGGAAACTGTAAAGCTATAGAAAAAATGCTATCTTAATTCAGAATACACGTATATTGTATGCACTTTTATAAATTTTTAAGTCACTTTAAATTTACAACCACAATCACAATATTAAAAAATGCGCACGATATTTAATCCAAATTTTAAATACAAATTTTTTTTAATTTGGACATTTTTTTAGACAATCTGAAATTATTTTTATAAGCAATAATTAAAAAACAAAAATAATTCTTAGCAAATCAATTTTTTATTAAAATCAAAAGAATTTTCAACACGTTTTCATTCCATTTCAATTAATTTAAGCTGAGTTTTCTTCAATCCATGGTAATAAGTTTTGTACGTTAGCATAAACACCAGAATAATTTGGACGAGCACATCCAGAACCCCATGAAACAACACCAGCTTGTTGTCCATTAACAATCAATGGGCCACCTGAATCACCTTGGCATGAATCTTTGCCACCACCATTAACACCACCGCATAACATTCTATCGGTAATTCTTGATGAACCATATTGTTGACGGCATACACTTTGTGAAACAATTTCAATATCAACAGCTTGTAATTGTTTTGGAATTGAACCACCTTCACGGGTAGCACCCCATCCTGAAATTTTTGCAAGTTCTCCACCTTTCATTGCAGCTCTATTTAATGAAATAATTTGTGCTTTGGCTCCAGTTTTAACTTGTTCAGCTAATTTCATAATTGCAACATCATAATCAATAGTCCATGAGTTATATTTTTCGTGTTTTCTGATTTCAGTTACTTGAATCAATTGACCACCCTCATTATGGAATGATGATCCAACACGTACTTGTAAATTTTTGGCTGAAACACCTTCAACACAATGAGCAGCAGTTAAAATAGTTTTTCCATCACCAATAATTGATCCACCACATCTATGTGATCCATAATATTGCATTGAAATTTGATGTGGATATTCAGCAATATCAACTGGACGACCACCAACAATACGTCCATCTAACATTGGCACTAAACCTGGTGGAAATGCGGTAGCACTAAGTGCACCAACCAAGCAAGCAATCAAAATGAGATATTTGAACATGTTGTTATAATTAGTTTAACTCGTAAACTGATAATTTCTAACGACAACTTGAACACTTTATATACTCTAGTAAAACTACAGAAGAAGAAATCTAAATCTTTTCTATTTGAAATGATAAGGTATTGATAAGATTTATCATTTTTATCCTTTTATATTAACAATCTAAGTCGTGTGTTTTAATATTTACAAATTTTTAATCTATAAATATTATTTATCGTTCGATCCAAAGCCTTTTCTAAGATCAATCTAGTATTGCGCATATAAGTGAAAATATATTTACCATTGTAATACTTAAAAGTTTAATAACGTTAGTATATCATGGTTATTTTAATCCTATAAGCTGTTACGGTATAGGAAAGCATTATAACAATACGCATAAAACGTTTGGAAGCTATAAAAAATATTACTTTGCTCTAGTAATAGATTTATGTATTATAAACACAAAAATAATCAAAGTTAATTTACAATTGAAGAATCTCAAGAGGGTTTTAAAATTGGGAAAATCCTTTTTACTATAATTCTTTTGAAGAGGGCATATTTATGACTGTAATATATTATTAATTAAGCACTATATTTGATTATAAAATATTAGACATGATTATAATTTGATGACTTAAACTTTTTTTAGAATTTCACTAGAAAAATTATAGTTCAAATATTTTTAGAAGCATTCATTTGACTTGTATGACGTAATATAAAAGTTTTATAGATTTATGGATGATATTTGTTTTATAGTGAGATTACGATAAATAAATTTTGTGAAAATGCGGCAATTTTTAAATTTGTGATTTTAATTTTTAACTTTTGCTTTTTATTTATTTTAAATTATACATACTTACTTAAGATATAGAGACTTCCTGATATATAAAACTCATGAAATTATATAGCTGCCGTTTTTTTCCAGAAGTCAGAAAATATGCAATGTTCCAATATAACAAAGACTATAAGCCTTCCGTCACGATATGCCAGTTATCTTACATCCAATAGGTAATTAAATCGTGCAAAACATATGGCTTCAGTCCAAATCAAACCTTTCGCAGACATTGATATATACAAAAAATCACAATAAAACTAGGTTCTTAACAAGTTGTACCATAGCTTGTAGGTTTTTCCGCATGAAAGCCAAGTTGATTGGCTATTCTTCAAGCATTTTTTGGCAATTATAAGAGCTCAAAATTGGTAGCAACCGAAATTCTCCAAAGACCTTAAATTTAACCGCGTTTTCAGTTTTTGAATTTCTGCGTATAGTATACTATTTCTGCCCACTCCTTTCATTTCACCTTCCAATCCTTCTTATACTTTCTTATCAAAATTAATTGTACAGCAGTAAATCATTCATTCAAATGCATGCCATACTTGTTTTGATTTCTCACAATCCACCAACAATAATGAAGTGAACAGTCAGTTACCTAGCCATATTTAGGTCATTTTTTTCTTGAAATTGCCTTACAAACTGCAAAAATCTCAAAACCTGAACTGCAGATGTTGCTGTCGGCAACTACATATGCTCGTATGTTACATGTATCTACCGAAATTTCCTTTAATTTAAATTTATACAACACAACGCTTCCTCCGTCTCAGGCAACCTGTTAAAAAATTCATTCGTTAAAATAGACTTTACTTTAAAAATTCGAATTCGATCTATGTATAATTTAAAACAAATTTTTGCACCATTCTCGATACATATACATCAGTGTAATATTGTGACTTTAATATTGTAATTTGAAAATATTTTCAATAATATTTCTTATAAAGTTTTGTATTCAAAAAATATCATATTTGAATAATAAATGAAACGCAACGAGAATGCTATAAAATAAAAAATAGGCAATAATGTTATTTCTATTCCTCTTTATAATTGATGCACCTTTCATTTAAAGGAAATTTATATTGCAAATGTGCCGGTAAATTTCCCTTTGAAGTTTATTTTTGATTTAAATTTTGTATATTATGTAGATCTACATACATGCTTTCATTCGTACATGTATGTATGTATGTATTTTCCTATATTCTTTTATTTAATGCTCAATTATAACTTTAACAGTATTAAAAAAAAGAACTAATTTCTCTTTGATTTTTCAAAAGATTTCAAAGAACATTATTTTATAAATTTTAATAAAAGACTCTCAATATTTTCGAAATGAATTTTTTTTTTAAACTGGAAACTTTTAACTTATTAAACATAAATATATATGTATGTATGTATAACATAAGTGATATTGAGTAAAGGATTAAAATTATGTATTTATATACGTATATGTATAGAACAGAGCTTTTAGTACAAACTCACCGATCTACATGAAATTAAATTCAAGAATTTCTATGAGCTTTTTTGTATATTATAGTAAGAGTTTGACAGGTGTAACTGGAAAATAAGCAGTCGAAGCCGAGTTTATGGAAATCGGAAAGATTGCAAATTTTGTAAAATAATATAGGTATAGCAATATTGAAAAATAATGTAAATCAATTCACAAATTTCAGAAGATTCTATACGTTAATTTATTTTTCAAATAAGCTGTTGTACAAATCTCTTACATCTTTACAAATTTTAAAAGCCATAACTGTATATATCATCTTTTACTAAAGTATTTTAAAAATAATACGCATATTTCTATACGAATAGGTTTAATGCTTTTCTTGGAAGAAATGAAACATCAAAAATATAAAATTACTAAAGAAGCGTCTTATTTTTTTCTTTTCCTTTCAATTCTCTTGCGTGTTTCATTTTCAAAAGGAAAATCTCTAAGAAAATTAACGGGAAAATAAAATATTTTGTGTGATTGTGCTTTATGATATTTTTAACAGAAGAAAATTACGTTTTTTTTTCTCAATTTTAACACTAAAAAAGAAACAAAAAATATTCAGAATTAAAGAAAAACACAAAATAAAATAAAGATGAAAGGAAAAATTCCAAAAAAAATAAAATACCTAAAAGAAAATTTTGTTTTTTGATTTTCTGAGGTGGTTCAAGATGTCATCCTTTAGAGAGGAATTATACAAACGCACAAAGATTAAATAACTATGAACAAAAACAATAATAAATAATAGAGACAGCAACAACAACAGAAGAGCTTTTCTATCGCGTTTTCCCGCATTTTTCTTATCTTTATTTCCTTTTTTGTTTTTTTATTTTTTTTGTAATTTATGACAGTATTTTTCATTATATTCTTATTCTTTTTGTCGTTTTTTTTGGGACGCGGTATTTTAGAAATATTTGCCTAATTGTCTTTTAATGTGGCATTTAAAAATAAAAAAAAATATAGTATTTAAAAAGAACAAAAATAATTTTTTTGGAATTTACTGTTAAGGTGATTTAAGTCAATTAATGATCACTAGATGACTCTAAATGGATCATAAATAAAAATTCTGGTTAAAATTTATTTTCCTAAGTCTAAAATCGAATTCTGGGGGGTAAATTTTTTTCCATTGTAATGTTTCTGATTATCGTTTAAATTAAGAACGTTTTATACTAAATTAAAACGTTTTAAATATGAAAACTGAATTTTTTAAAGATAAAAAAAAGCCTTAGGATTTGGAAACGATTGTTGAAAATACTAATAAATTCCAAGTTACAATTACGAGCAGTTTTCAGAAAAGAAGAATTAAAATTAAAGAAATACAAAATATTTTTGGTACTCCTAAATTATGGAACTTATAAATTTCTTTATAAAATACGATAAACTAAACAACAAATTTGTTTAAACAACTTGTTTTCAGCAGCAACTGATTTCAGCTTCCAAAAATATCGTCATTTGAATGAAAACCCATATTTTAAGTGAACCTACTGAAAAATTTAACTACACCCTGTTCATTATAAGCAAATAGTACAACTCCATTTTTTATTTTTTATGCACATATTATTCACAAATATTACTGTTATCGGTAACTTTCTTAAAAAATAAATAAAAAATAAAAAACAAATTCAATTGAATTTCATTGATAAAAATTCAATGGGCGTTTACTGTTTAAACAATACAAATAAACAAAACATAGAATTTGCGTAAGTATGAAGATTTCATTGAAAATAAATTGGTGTAAAATTCTATTGAAAAAATAATAAAAAGTTCGATATTTATAGTGTTATACAAGCATACATAAATAAATATTTAGTGTTATAATACATATGGGCTATGAAAGTTTGTTTATAACGCTTATAAATACACAATATAGAAGCACAATACACGTGCTGTTATACCAAACTTATATTTAATATTATAATTAGTTAAAAGAAATTATGACTTAACATTAAAAATTCAATGAGAAAAATTCTCGGTTCAAAAATTTTTTTTATAATCCAGATCATAAATTTTCCTATTTTTTAACTTATACAATCAATGAACATAAAAAGTACAAATATTTAGGTCAAAAGAAAATGTATGAAAGTTTACAAAAATATTATTTAAGTATTTTATAGGCATATACATATATATAGGAGCAAATACCTAAGACTGCAATTAGCAAATATATTAGTAATAAAAATATTAACCTTAATATTCAGAAATGTATATTCAGACTTAATTTTCAGAAATGTATAATAACTATACAAATGTATTTTTATTAAGAGAAGGAAAAACTTCTGGATGAGAAGTTAATTATCGAAATTGAAATCAAGTTTTAGAATCAGCGTTTTTCACATGTTAAGATTTTGAAGCAATCATTTAAAATTTGAAATTGATGTGTAGTAAACCTTTAAACGAGAGAGTAAAAAAGGCTCAAAACTTACACTCACCAAGTTCGACTCGCAAAAAGAAATGCAACCCAATGATCCTCCGTTTTGCTATGACAAAGCTGAACGTGACCACAAAAGAAGAGACTTTGATCCTCGTACCGCTAGTCACAGCAACCCTGCAATGATCGTTATCTGATCGCCACATTCTACTGGCATATTCGTCAATCAGATAATGCACAGTTATAACCACTATTCATCGGGGAGAGACATCAAATCCGCTGTACGGCCCAGATAGCTTATGTAGCACATAATACTGAAATTGTAAAAGTAAAAACTTTTAAAATATTT